TTGCAAGAGTATGTCTTGATGAAAGTCTTAACCACAGAAATTGAGTAATCGATGCTTTGCCAATCTCACTCGTGATTTGAAAGTATGCAAATGAAGTCAAATTTTTTCGCTTTCAGGTATTTCAAAAACATGCCTGCTTCGAAGAAGTTGGTGAGATGATCGCAGAAGTGGATAAGAAAGATCATGCATTGGCCGAGAGAATGCGAAAAGTGCTAGCTGCTAACTGTTCTCGACTCGAAGGACTTAGCCCAAACGCTGTTGAGTTTAGCAAGAAGGTTGGTCTGATAATCATTCGACTGCTTCACCAGTTTCCTTAGATCGTGAACTTTCAATAAACTGGAGTGGTTCTCTGAAACTATACGTTATTAGCAAAACTACAATCGCTGTAACAAAATAAAAGCAACTATGGTAAATCTAAACGAAAAACATTTAACTTCCTCAAGCTTCTGATAAGGAAAAGAACTCTATGATGCAAATCTTCTATAAAAGGAACAGGATGCTCCTAGCAATTCGGAGAAGGATGAAAATGGAGATTCCTCAAATTAATCTTGCTGATATGATGCATAGTCTTGGACAACATCTAAATAAAGCAGACGAAGTTTTATGCATAGTGGGGATTTTACATCCGTTCCGTGCATTACTCTCTCCCCTATACAAATCAGTGCGCAGAATGTGTAGAGTCTGCTAAGGCATTAACCATGCGCCAATAACTAGGTTTTGGATGGGATTGCTTTAAGGAAGAATAGAACAGACTTCTACATTCATCAAAATCAAAGTAATTCTGCTGACTCTACCGCTGAAATCGTTGCGTAAAGACTTTTTTATGTTTCCATTTATTCTTCCTTGCGCTTTTCCCATCATGCATAGCCTACCGCTCTAATATGTCTCCATTCTTTTCGGTTTAGGGTTTGCCCTTCCCGCAGTTTAAGTTCTTTCTGTCTAGCACTGATTCTGCGCAGCCATCGCAAGCACGTCCTTTTGGCCAATTCGACACTTCTACAGACTCTATATGATCTTCTTTTCTTCGCCTCATGTGTGCCCATATCAATGGCGTAACTCTTGCATTGTCTTGAGGAACGTGCAACCTTTATCAAGCTTTGTAGTCGCTCGGGATGTC